GAAAAAATATTGTTAATAAATTTTTTTAACATTAATCGGATAGCGCCGCTCGTAACGCTCGGCGACGCTGGCCCTAGCTGCGGCGCGCGCAGTAAGGAGAGAAAAGGAGGCGTATACCACAAAAAACGGCCGAAAAGCTGAAATAATTCCAAGCTCTGGTAATACGCTGCAATAAAGATTAAAAAAAAAATTTTTTTGAAAAAATAAGATTTAACCAGCAATATGCAGCGTAGTAATCAGGCGCATTATCCTAAGCCACGCCGCTTAGCTGTCAATCTGTTCTTATTGCACGATACATTACGCGCACGTAAATCTTTAAACGCGTTTTTTCGCGAATGCTTGAGAAGTGGGTCTTATTATTTCACGATGAATTAGTGGGAGGGTACTTTTACAACATATATAAAATTCAGCGAAATCGGAGGGGGCAATCTCTGGTGTTCCCCTTGTTAGTTGCACTGAACTAATCTCTATATTTTCCTGAAATAAACTACAAAAGTATATCAGGATATTCGAAGTTGAACTTAGTGACTTCTTTTTGTCTTTGCTATTTGCTTTTCTTTTAATTTAAATAAAAATTTTTTTCATTAAAAAAAAATGTTTAAATGAAAATAAGAAAAACATAGAAAAACGCTTAGATAAAATTTATGCACAAATATAAATAATGACAGTCAAACAATCGGCAATTAAAGCAGGTATTACATTAAAAAGATTCAGATCCGTAAATTAAAATGAAAGAGGAGAATGTGTGTTAATACACAGTATTTACTTATTGTACGATAACACACAGTTGCTCGCAGACATCACGCAGCAATTGTTGCAAAATATTAAATTGCAAAATATCAATACAAAGTTTATTTTTACTTGTTTTTGTTTATAAAAAAATATCTGGCTAATAAAAAGTTTTATAAAGATAAAAAGATGAAAAATAAAGTTGTATTCTATAGCAGTATGCAGCAGTAAACAGCAAAGATTATAATGACGAAATACAAAAACTCGTGCCTAAGTTAAACAAATGTTTTGACAAATAGTGATTAATATTGAGAATAACAATTAAATAAATGCATTAAGAGAATATTTGTATTTCATTTTACATTTTTCTTATCTTTTTATCTTCACTTTTAAACCATCATCGTATCTCTTCGTGACATTCTATATTATGTTTTAGTCTAAATATATAATAAAAAAAATTAACATAATATCCAAAACAAAATTTTAAAAAGTTAAAAAAAAAATGAGAAATATAATTCTTTATATTGGATTGTATAATACATATGCTTATGTTCTTTCACATGTTTATCTGGATATACTCTTAATTATTAAAAATAATCTTACAAGATAATGTACTCTCACCTACGTTGTTTAATATCGTCGTGGTCGTAGTGTTACCAGCTTCTTTCTCACTCTCGTTATGATCACCGACCGCCGTTGTCTCCTTCTCTTCGTTCTGTTCCACTTTGTCGGTATGTGAACCTAACTGATTTTCAGTCTCGATCATTCGCAAGATGAGGCCGCCACTACTTCCGTATGTCCTTACTTGACCTGCACTCTTTTAATTGTAGAAAAAAGTTTAGTGATCTGATGAAAAAAAAATCTGCTTATTTGATCAATCAATTCTGCAAGATCAGTATTTACTATATTTGCAATATAATGAAAAATATATTAACTGAGAATTAAAAAATAAAAATTGAAGATTGAAATTAATTGAAAAATTGAAAATAAGATCTAAATTTCTACAGAAACATGATAAGTTATTAGAATATAACGAAAGATTTGAATTAAAGATAGATTTTAATAACAGATAGATTTAATAAATAATTTAAAAAAATATATATATACTTTATCTGTAATGCAGATTATAAAATATTTGAAATTATTTAATCAATAGATTTTACACGATTAAAATCATGTGTTATATTTCAATACAATTTGTATTATTATGAAAATAAGACAATATTTTCTTTAGTATATTCTTAGTATGTAATAAATGTATACATTGATTAACGTGTGCTTAAAAACTGTCTAAGAAAGTAGACTGAATACACCATAAGCGAGTGGAGTGTGCAGCGTTTTTAATATTTCAATTTCAAGATTCTCTATATTGAAAAGGTTGCTTTTCAATATAGAGAGAGAGATCTCAAAATGGAGATTTATGTTGATAAATCTCCATTTTGAGATCTCCACTACACTAGTCAATTGATCATGTGTCATGTGAGCGTTAAGAATTCCCGATGAATCTACCACTTTTATTTCGCAATTGCAGTTTTCACTGCAGGTCCGTCGATTAATAACTGAAATTGTATACATCAGATTTTGTCATTCTCATAATTTCATTCCTTTACGAGTGTACATACTCGGCATTACTAATATCTTTTCTATCTTCAGTTTAATCATTTCGGTAATTATCCCTTCTGTTATTGCACGAAATATATGCGTGCGTAACACATTTCAAGCATCAATTTTCTATTATGATTTATACACTCGTTTCTTATCTTACTTAATCTACATATTATTTAGAATGTCTTCCACTGTTTAAACTAATAAAAGCAATAACAATGTTGATACAGAACCATAGCAATATAATCAGTTCAAATTAGATTCATTTATAGCAATTATTAAATTATAAATTCATACGTAGTATTATATTTTTTTGGCCTATTTAATTCGGTTTTATTGCAAAATTATCACGCTTTATCTAAATATACTAATGACACGAAATATCATATCTTATAACTTTTTATTTTGTTTCTTTCTACTTAATCTATTAATGACTAATACTTTCTAGAAATTTTATCACAAATAAAAGTCTTTTAATGTTAAATAATACTTAATGTTTAAAAATATGGAATGTAATTTTCCAAATATAGATGTGTTAAGTAGTGTTTTCTTTTCAAAAGAAAACAATAAATCTAACAAAGCATAATAAATAAAAAATAAAAAGTTATTTATAACATTTTGTCTAATTAACATAACATTTTTATATCATTTTGTCTAATTAAAAAAATCTATTAATGTTTGATCTAATATTTGATATTAATTTAAGTACATCAATGAAATTTTTAAAGTATTCAATCTTGAAATTTATGAAATATTAAATAAATTTTAAATAATGTAAACTCACTTTACATATAAAATGAAAATGTACATGTACATTTATAAATTTACAAGTATGTCAAAAACATTACACGCAATATGGAAAACAATTAATAAAAATTTTAATAAACAAAAAATGTTCACTTTTCCTAAAGATCTTATTTGCCAACTCTTATTCAGATAACAAGTGAGGTATAAAAATATTTATTTAAAACAAAAACAATTTAAATAAAAACAATTTATTTATTTGCAATTATATGTATATGTATTTAAACAATAATTTATTAAATTAAATTTTAATTAAAATAATTTCTATTTAGATAATAATTGAAATTATGTTTTTGTTGTTTCTCGCTTATGGAATTAGTTTATACAAATACAAATAGTTGCTTTTTATTTCTTTGTACATATGCACACACATAGCAACATTAAGGCGTGCATGCGCGTGCGTATATGTGTATTTACGCCCGCATAAATGTATAATATTTAATATACCGAAGATTTTACGAACTTCGAATTTACCGGTTCTCTGAATTACGAAAAATTCAGATAAAATATTTGAAAGCTTCAAAAATATTTAATATTTGAACAGTCGATCAGTAATTCATGAGATAACCGATCGACAAAGTATATTGATTCTAAGGTGGAAGGCCAAGACATTACATTAGTACTCCTGCATTAGCCGCATTCGCAGTTCAACACATGATCAAGTGTTGTATTTTAGCTGTCAGATAATAACGAGAAAAGAAGAGAGAGAGAGAGGGAGGGAAGGGGAAGGGGAGGGAGGAGGGGAAGGGGAGGGAGGAGGA